GGGGGAGGGTCCTTACTACACTTGTCTCTCGGACAGACAGATAGAGACAGGGGGAGGGGGTAGCGGAGAGGAGGAAAAAAGAACCCCACTCACCTGATTCCCACAGAACTTGCCGAGGACCAGGTCATTCTCCGTCGGCCCATCGTAGACAGCCACGTAGTCGTACCTGGAGCATGGACAAAAGTGGTGTGGTCAGAACAGCAACCCACGGCATTGTTGTATAGTTTTCTAAGTTTATTAAGTCTAAGGGGCCCTTTAAACACCACGAGAAACGTTATTCAGCGGAAACGGAACCTCTGATCAGACCTTCATCTAAGTCTGAGTTAAACCAGAGCCAAGTGCGTGGTTAGTGGCTATCTGCCAGTGAGTCGAAAGGTGAAGAACACTCTGTTTGGAGGCTTCCACTCCTTCCTCCCAATTGCTAAGCCCAGCGTGATAATAATACCGGTACAAATAATATCAGAAGGCCCCGGCTATAATTATGAGACCTACATTGTATTATATCGATCCCTGTTGTAGCCCAATCCAATTACATGTACAAAAGAAGGTGATCAAATTGTACACTGTAACTAATGATTTGGTCGTTTTTAGTACATACAGACTTCAACATAAGTTAAGGACCACCTTGACAGACAGCCCTGATTTTTTTTAAATCTGAAAAAAGACAGCAAGTAACGTTTCAAAATTGTTTCTTCTGAAAGTGTTAATGGGTTACCACCAATGCTTCCTAGTAAGTGACCAAACCACCACGTGCAGCACGGAAACCCGCGGGGAATTTTAGCCAAATTTGCTGTTTTTTTATCGACTTGTATGCGACACAGCGGACATACCTTAGTTAAAATTTCTGGTGTATGTCATAAACGGAGGTATGGTCTCGAACTGTGCTCACTTTTGTGGCAATATAAGCCGCCGTTTGTGCAAAATCCAGTATCGCATCAACTTGCCACCATTACGAAAGCTGAGAGACTTTGATCGTGCCAGAGCTATGGTAAGGCTACAGGACGGAGTTGGAGCCCGAGAAGTTGCCAGAAGGCTTGCAGTGTCACACTCTGTCATTGTCAGCCTGAGGCAGCGCCATCAACTTACAAGCCACTGGATCAGTCCAATAACGCCCTCGTGCAGGTCGACCCAAGAAGACCACTGAGTGCGTTTGCAAGTGGTCCGTAACTTATGTTGAAGTCTGTAAATTAACGACCAATTTATCAGCTATAGATCTAGTTAATTCTCTTTTTTTTCCAGTATTTTTTACTCCTCATCTTTCTCTCTCCTATTCATAATATTAATATATCTTCTTATTCTTGGGGAGGTTCACGAGATATTATTTGAGATTCACAGGTAGCCTACCCTTTTTCAGGCCCCCTGTTGGTAATGTCGGTGTAGTTCGCCATGTTGAATTATATATATATATATATATTATTGGGGGGGGGGGGGTGTTGATTTTTATTTTTATTTGGGGGGGTGGGGGTGGGGTTAATTTGTTTACGAGTTGTCGTTAGTTGAACCACAATTATAGCTGCGATTGCCTATCCGAATGCATAAGAACTCTTTTCTTATAGATTATATTATTATATACTGCCAGATCGGACAAGGAGATTATACTATAACTATAAACCTGCTGTTGCCTGTATAAATAATGCTTTGCCGTGGCAGGAAGTTTGTGAGTCCTTAGGATCCCAGCCCCGGAGCTACCAGCGGGAACTACGGTCCCTGGCGGCAGGTTCTGGGCCTACCACCAAGCTGGCCAGGTTACTGGGAGGGGGGGGGGGGGCGTTGTTGTTGTGGGGTTTTTTTTTGCGTTTTACAACGCTCGCAACTGCATACGGTCATATATATGAGCGCGCGGGACACTTATTAGAGTCTAGGTACGAAATTTTAAATTTTGCCCGGTTGGCGGCCGAAGCCTACTCTTTATATCGATTTTGGACAAACACGGGACCTCCTGGATTTTTCGCCCTTGTTCGAGAAGGCTAGGTGTAGATCTTTCCCGCCAGAAGATCAGGGGTGTGGCTGAAAGACAGCTGTAAGAAGGAGCCAAGGAGGAGCAGTAGAAAAGTTGCAGAAAGAGTCAGGAGCCAAGAGGAGGGGGTGAGGGGGTGGGGGCAGAAAGTGGAGACGAAAGCAGACGACAGAACATTGTAAGAGAGCAGGAAAGGGGGTAAAAGGAGACCATTTTAGAGCAGAAAATGTTTCCGTCGCTACCCGGATTCGAACTAGGGACCTTTGAATGAGAGGCGAACACCTTAATTGCCCTATAGCCCACGACAGCCCCCGGGAGGAGCCTGGCAAAATCAGAAATCAGCACCAGCTGTGGGTGATGGGGTGATCTGTGAAGTCTAAGGTGGTGTAGAGAGTAGATGTATGTGTATCAAAAGGATAGGTATTTGCAAGGTCTCAAGGCACGAGAGCAAAGCAAGGTGTGTGGCACACTAGGGCACGTCAAGACCCAAAAGACGATAGTGGTCGGTCACCGTGGAAAAGGTAAGAAACTTACCACGTATGATCCCCCCAAAAATACTGACCGAAGAAACAAAGAAAAGAAACTCATCTCACAGACACCCCAAGGCCACCTGCCGGCGGGTCGATGCCTGTTGTACATGGTTTGGCCTGGGTAGGCCTATAACAGAATGTACAACGGCAGCTCGCGACCGTGAAGGATGGAGGGTCATTACACGTCAACCTCTGACTCTTGAGTCCGGGTATGACACTTCCAGGTATTCCAGGTGACCGAAATCATGTTATGACCGAGACTGTTATGTGGGGCCCACTGTAGGCCTACACTACATGAAGTAGTTGTAAGGTAAGGCGACAGGATGGAAACACAAGTCCTCAATGGGTGCCTCTATAGTGTGTGGGAAGCAGGCACACTCGCCTGCTCCTTCAACATCAAACCGGACGCCTTTTCAAACATTTAAAAAAATATAAATTGTTTTAATTGCGTTTGTAGTCTAGTGGTCAGGCTACCGGACTCGCAATCTTAATGAAGCGAGTTCGGGGGTTTGAATCTCAAGCACGACATAGTGTCCTTGGGAAAAGCACTTTTCACGAATTTTCCACATTTCACCTTTCATCAAAATGTGTGAATTGGTACCTGGCCAGACAGCGAAAGATCTTGTTAATGTTATACGGTGTGCCCGACTCGGTCGCCTCAAAAACAATAAGTTTCAGTTTCAGGCGATCGAGTACATGTATTAGTGTTTTAGCGCCTATAAATGGCATCTTGCACTGCATGTTTTCCAGGAAATTGAGATTGTTTCAGAATATTATCAGATCTTTTTTTTTTTTTTTTTGGGGGGGGGGGGGGGGGGGTAAGTATTTTACATGGCACTCGCACTGCATAAGGTCATATGAGCGCGCGGGACACATGAAACATTTTCAGCTGACAGGAAAGTTTGAATTTTGCCCGGGTTGCGGCCGAATCCTACTTGATTTTGGACCACCAAGTGATCTTTAGCGTGCGTAACTTGCACACAGTACCTCCGAGATTGTTCGCCCCTATCCGAAAAAGCTAGGTGTTAGATCTTACCTACCTTAAATAAGATCAGGGGTGTAGCTGAAAGACATCAGTAAGAAAGGAGCCAAGGAGTAGCCAGTAGAAAGGCTGCAGAAAGAGTCAGGAGCCCAGAGGAGGGGGCAAAGGAGGTGAGGGGTGGGGGCAGAAAGTGGAGAGTGGAGACGAAAACAGACGACAGAACATTGTTAGAGAGCAGGAAAGGAGGTGAAAGGAGAACAGTTTACTTTAGAGAAGAAAATGTTCCGTTGCTATCCGGATTTGAATCCGGGACCTATTGAATGAGAGGCAAACACCATAACCTCTCGACCACGAGAGCCCCCCCCCCCTCCCCCCTCTCAGGTCTATACCTAATAATATATTATAAGATTGCAAAGCGCATAGAGCAAGCTGTTGAGTGGAATGTGCGCTACATTTATGATTTTTATTAATAAAATAGTAAATAAAAGTAAAACAGCAAAATGGACTCTCTCCGTCCAGCAAAAAGAGATGCCCTTTTATATTTCTCTTTATTTTATTCAATAACTGGAAAAAAAGAAAATTGTTATTGTTATCCAAGCGCCTTTTGACGTAGATCTACTTGCTCAAGCTCAAATGGTTATGATTATAATGAGAGAAGAACAAGAGTACTTTTGTGTAAACATGTCAGAAACAATTGTTAGATCTCGATCTACCCAATATTGATCGAAATAAGACAACATCATAAAAAAGGAGTCAAAACTGAGAAATCTTCCTCAATTCAGGCACAACTACAATAATATTCTGTAGAAACGATGGCTATTTGGCTAGTATTGGCGTTCCAAATAGCATGGGAACAATTCAGAACGTGGCGTTGCAAATAGCGCCTGCCAAAAGAAAAAGACGCTGTTTCAACAACAACAACGTGCGCCTTCCCACCTGCAATGAACAGGATTGAAGAGACGCCCTCCTTACTTGTCAGTGGTCTGTATTCTGCTGCTACTGCTACAATAAATGGTCATCATAAGTATATAAGAGCTAACTCTATCACTGATCAGACAAAAAATGCATCACGTAACTTGCCCTAATGTTTAGACGGGAGCGCCATTTTTAGAATGCTTGCCATGGATGCAGTCTCGCTATGATGATGCAGTTCAAGTTCAAGAGGCCTTATGCCCATCAGCGTATGAGAGGCCTAACAAAGGCGTCAGGGCCATGGCGTCATATATGGCGACGCCATGATTTTATTTTGTTTTGTTTGAGTTTTAATAAAGAGAAGCACATCGATACAATAAATAAACCATGTGGTCATTTAGTGTTGGGAAAGGGTAATTTTTAAGACAGACAGAAAACAAAAACGGTGGGGAAGTACTTTTTAAAGAAGTAGGACCTACCAGTGGCGCGTTCTAGTCACCATCGATTATAATAAATCTTGCCAACGGGCCGAGGTTGCCACATGCGTGTGCCACGGTTCCTTGCGGCTTTAAAATAATTTAATTCCAAAAATTATATAAAAACATAGAAGACATAGTCATAAATTTTGTTTTGCCCTAATCGTCGCATCAATAAAATAGGTCTATTATGCCTAGATCTAGTCAAATCACAGAATTCTACACTTATAGAACGGGAACTGTACCACATGACCTGTGAGGAATTGAAGACCGAAAACAATGGCGTCTTGAGGGCACGATTTATCGTTTTCGGAAGTAACCCTATAGCTTTTAAAGCAAGAGCGGCTTTTACAAACGAGTGAAAAGTGGAACATTTACTGTCCAGTTTGTAATTTTTAGTTACAAAATTCACTGTGCAACTAGAGATTGGAATCAAGGATTTAAATTGTTGTGTTTTTGAGTGCAACAACAGAAAAAGCAGACATAGAGAGTTTATAAATATAAGATCTACAGAACTGTGAAAAAATTCGTAACACGGGTGGGATTGTTCACAGCACTTCTAGCTTCCCACACACATTTTGCATACGCATATATGGCCTACGTAATTTTTTAGTAGCAAAATTAATTACAAGAAATTTGTTTTACACTGAACATATTTCTTCACTAGATCTAGATCTAATTAATGTTCTCAAAACATGCGTTCAATAATTAGCTTTATATCGCCAGCAGAAGTAGAAAAAAGGACGGACTTGCTTTTAAAAGAGATTTAACTCCAGCTATAAACTTTTTAAAAATCTGTAGAAACCATTGACTGGGATTTTTTAAAAAAAATATTGGGCTAGATCTAGTATTTATTAAAAAATTTTCGTTAAAGAAATTTCTATAATAATATAGAACCTATAGATGTGTACAAATGTTTGAAAAAAATACTCATCGGTTGAGACGAATTGATATAGATCTAAGTCATTGTGTAAAAGTAGGAGAATCTAGATCTAGGTGTTCGATAGTTCAGTAGCCTAGATATTTGATAATAAGTTGCACATCAAATTTTTGACCGCACGCTACAGTAGTAGAGATCGCGTATTATTTTCATCCGAAACATTAATTTCCGCATCCATACACCTTTTTGGGCCTTTATAAGCCCATGTAGTCCTACTTTAATTATGTTACTTTCATAATTGTTTTTGAAAGCATTTTCAATTCCTTTCACTTTCACTTCCCACGCACATATACTTATGATTATAATTTAAGATTCCAAATCTGACGAATGTATTATTAAATAGCGTATAATGCTGAGTTAGCCAATGCATTGCAATGCGCGCTATTATCAATTATTGAATTGTAACAAGACTTTAATTTGATCCGTAACAAGAGACCACTTATTTTTTTATACGTGTTCATGAATGTGTGTTTGTTTACTGTGTGCGGGGATTAAAAATTAAAGATTAAAGATTCCAGATCTGACGAATGTATTTATAAAATAGCGTAATAGTGCTGGGTTAGCCGATGCCTTGCGATACACGCTTTTATCAATTAATTGAATTGATACAGGACTTCGATTTGATCCGTAACAAGACAACACTTATTTTTTCTGATACGTCTTCAAAAATGTGTGTTTGTTTACTGTGTGCGGGCATTAAAGATTCCAGGTCTGACGAATGTATTTATTAAATATCATAGGCCTATAGGGCAGGAGTGGCCAACGCATTGCGATACGCACTTTTATCAATTAATCGAATTGAAACAGGACTTCAATTTGATCCGTAACAAGTGACCACTTATTTTTTCTTATTCGTGTTAAAAAAATATGTGTTTGTTTACTGCGTGCGGGGATTACAGGGGGACAAGCCCATCCCCTCGACATGTGATCCAGGGTATGGGGATACATTTTTCTCAAAATGCACACAGCTCTGAAATCCTTGACCAGTGATCACTCGCCATGGAACTCTTTCTGTTGTGACTGTAGACACAAGTTTCTTCATTATCAAATCTGAATGAGCCTATCACTCATGCATTAGAAACCGTACTCCCAACACACAGAAAATGACTTTGAACATATATTCAGGAAATATATGCCAGTGCTACTCTTGTTTACTTTGTTTTGCATTATTGACTTTTATGTGTAAACCAATATTTTGAGGCCTTTTCTGTATTTTTGTGTTTTTGGCAGCATGTACAATAGGCCTGTATTTTATGTGCAACCGACACATTTCCCAATCTCTTGTATTTGTTAGACTCGCACGTGCTTTAAACAAAGCATGTTGTTGACACTACTGATGCAAACACAGAGATGAATTCTTAAAGTGAGAAATAATACATTTCCTCAATATAAGCTCAATTTGTTTATCTCTTTCTAGTAAATTGGAGAAAAGGCTTATATTGTTCTTTTTTGCTTGCTTTGGATGGCCTTAAGTTTAATGACAATATTATTGTAGTGAGCATGTTACTGTCAGCGTCCCCTTATCGTAGATCTAGTACTAATCAAGACTACATCTAGATATTTTGCCAACAGAATTAATGTTCATAATTAGATCTAGTGTTATTATCAAGTGTATTGTGACTGTGAAGATCTTTAGTAGATCTAGAGATCTAGATCTACCTAGATCTAGATCTCGAATCTAGATCCCATCCCGCCATCATTTTAAAAAATCCAACAAACCTACAATACAAATACAAAAACATTGTAACATTGCCAATTATGACATATTGTTGGCAATAGAAATGTACTAGACTATTTCACTATATTTCCTCTTCGAAGAAAGTTTTAAAATACTGATGTAAGGTGTCTTCCAAGCCCTACCACTAGCATCAGCGTGCATAGCAACGCGAAGCCTCGCTGTGCGGCGCAGCCAAAGGTGCCCTCAACTGGCCGCCATGTTTTAGTTTCAATTCCTCACAGCGAATCGGCGATCGCGAAGAAGGAGTTCCGCTTCTATTCTGTTAGTCAAATTCATCTGACGAGTAGCTTGCTTTGAAGGTGAATTTCAAAGTTAGTTAGCCTACGTTTTATTTTAGCATTTGCGCATCATAGATCTCTCTCTCTCTCTCTCTCTCTCTCTCTCTCTCTCTCTCTCTCTCTCTCTCTCTATCTATCTATCTATCTATCTATCTATCTATCTATCTATCTATCTATCTATCTATATATATATATATATATATATATATATATATATATATATATATATATATATATATATATATATATATATATCTTTTCCAATTTGGGAGTCCAACACTACATACAGCTGGCTGGGTCAAAAAGGTTATTGTACAGTGGAAACCTGATATAACAGGGATGGTGGGAGTAGAGAAAATGTCCTGTTATATCCGATCCCTGTTAAATCCGAAATGCAAGGAAAGTAAGCATTTGTGGACTAATATAGCTGTACTTGTTCATGGGTAGTTGCCCTTGCCACAAGTATCCACAAACAGGGGTTTGGGCACTAACTTTCTCCTTGTCTCCTAAAACCACATCGGAAGAGCTTGGTCCGCAGCATCTGCATCAGGTAGTCTCATCTTCTTTCGATCCAGAGCAAACTTTCCATTGGAGTATGCTGCCACTATCTTCTTTCTATCCTTGATAATGATGTGAATCGACCCTTGTGGAATGTCGAACTGACGACAAATCTCTGCCAGTGGAGCTTGCTTTTTGTCAACATCCTGGATTATTTCGTACTTTTTGTCAATTGAAAGGCATTTTCTCTTGCGCTTGACATCATTGGTGACACATTACGCGTGCGTGTTGCTAGGTTTCGGGCTAGATCGAGGCCTGCAGCACACCGCAGCCCTCTCTCGCTTCACACGCTGCGTGTGCTTGCTCCATCACTGCGTTACTCTCTCTCTCTCTCTCTCTCTCTCTCTCTCTCTCTCTCTCTCTCTCTCTCTCTCTCTCTCTCTCTCTCTCTCTCTCTCTCTCTCTCTCTTACTTTTTACACATTGTTAACGACCCTTTGTCCCTGCTATAACCGGTTGGGCTCCGATGAGGCCCTGTTATTGCTGATAACTTTTAATATAGAGAAAGAGAAGGAAAAAACGGGGATTTAAAAAATCCCTGTTATTACCGGATCCCTGTTATTACCGGGCCTGTTATATGGTTTCCACTGTACTTAGTACTAGAGGTCCTGGCAGTGATGTCCCACACGTAAAGGAACGGCGGCTGCGTGTTGCCACTCTGGGAGTGGGACGCTGAACTAGGCCCGCTGAACCTCAAGACTCAAGGGCAAGACATGCGCAGTTCAGCAGACGGGTGTATTCTTTTCGAGAGTGATGTATGGGTGTCGCTGTGCTCTTTTAGGAGGAAATCTACAAGCTTGCACTGAAATAAGGGGGCAGGGTGGTTTTAAATATAACAAGTGCTGGAGCTCGTGGGGAGCAGGATGGGGCCTGAGATTGTTCATGTAAGAGGGGCACGTTGGCTATGCCGATCAGGGTAAGAAGGCCCCCATGTCTGACACGTGGGACGTCACTGCAGCGAGTTTATACAACATAGTATTACTACTATTATTACAACCTCTTTGGGCTAGGTTGAAAATTGGGTGCACACTGTCTGCAACTTAAATACAAGCACGATTTTGCCACAGACCTGTCAGACCTGTAGTGAACAAACAGGCCCGAGGACTAACGGGCAACGGATCCAAAAAATTGGCAACACCACGATTCAGAGCTGGCCGCCTGGCTATTATTAAGACACCTCTAGGGGTGCCCATTGGCATTTTTTGCGGCCTAGACTCGTAACTTCGGTGGGATGTATTACACTCGCGAACCTAAAAACTTCAATGGTCACCCAACTTTACACTTGCGAACATCTCCGATATCGGGAGAAATATCGGATTTTGCTCGAGTATGCTGGCACTGTTCGATTACAAATATTCGCCCCCCCCCCCCCCCCCCCTCCCTTTCCCCAGGGTCACTCAAACACAAAACAGGCAAAACATTCCTGATGCTGCCTCACCAGTACGACACAGACCCAAGCCTGCAGCCTAAACAAACACAGAGGGGGGATGCATTACGATTAATAAAGAAGTGGAGAGGCATCATCATCATCAACCATTGTATGTGTATGTATTGCTGTACCCGTCGAATTAGGAAAGAAAAATTCTGACATTATGCAAACTGAGCCCAAAAATGTGAAATAATGCGATTCTGGTTTTTTTGGTGTTTTTTTAAAATACATTTTTAAAACAAAGAATGATAAAGGAAAATAATCAGAAATTATGCAAAAGATTATCAAATTTTGCTAAATTATGCGGGGTGCATAAAACCACGGGGACAGGTATTGCGACAAAGATTGTACAGAATCTTTGATTGCGAGTACAAGAACAATTTGATTACACGAATTAAAAATCGTTGAGTACGCTCTTGCGATGCTTTAATTTTTTGTTCAAGCACTAGAGGTTCGCAAGTGTGATGTTTAAACTTGTTCAAAATTGAATAGGTTCGCGACTTGATGTTTTGACAAATAAGGTTCACACGCGCAATGCTCCCTTCGGCGCTGTTTGCGACTCCCATATATTCGTTTGCTTTTTTTAATAAACATTTTTGGAGTTGATTTTATTTGAATACGTGCGCATGTATGTATTTATGATGTACCGGGCAAATTTAATTGTCGTCGAGCAGCCCTGAATTGTGATCAGTTTATATAGTCAAATACAATGTACTGACTACTAGCGCTGAATAGTGGTGCTCCTAAAACTTGAGTGTAGTGTAAAAGGCCACTTACGATCGAGACGATGCACTGCCATTTGCCAACTGTCAAAGGGTCGGTACGAAGAAAATGAGGGTTATCGTATCCTATCGTTTAGGTTGGGGGAAACCTATCGTAACACTTTATCAAATAAATGACTGTGTGTTAAATTTTCCTACATGCAATCCCGGCCCCATGGGCACACTTTTCGGTTGTTCAGGGAGGCGGGTGAAAGACAAAGAGATCGACACAACTCGACAAAGTAAATTTCCCAATGCAGGAATCGAGGAAACGTCTTCTGGACGTGCAATAGCGAAGAACCTTGCTGCTGCACCAGAGTCAGGTTGAAGACGAAGACAGCAGTACATAGTACATGGTAGGCCAAGGCATAATCATGTGTGAGAGAGTGCCTTGAAGGACCCTAAAATCAATGAAGATCTGCAAAGTAACTTACAAACACATGAGGAAAAAAAAAGCACAGCCTATTTAATCTAGTGAACCTTGCCTCTTTCCTTTCTTCTTGTACCCCTGCTGGAGCTCAGGGAGTACATTAGTAAATGAATGTGCAGGATCTTCATCTCACGACTCTCAGTGTAGTTGAATTGACGTAGAGATGTTAGTTGATACACATGTATTGCATGGGCCGCTTTATTTTATGTTGGCCTATATCTGACATCTGCATTGTACTATGTACTACACATCGTAGAATCATCCCTTGCCCAACACTGTGACAGGCTGCCACGTGCCGTATTCAAAGGTTTTTCTTTCTTTTTTTCTCTTTTGACTCTTTAATACATACTTGATCTATATTATGTATTAATCTAGTGGTTTCAGTTATAATATGGGAAGGGATTAATTTTGAATTTTTGCCCGGGCGGCGGCCCAAGTGCCTGCTCGTTTTGATTTAAGAACCTCCAAGTCCAAGGGATCTCTAACGTGCAGAATTTTACACAGAACCTCCGAAAAGTTCGTCCGTCTACCCAAGTAGGCCTGGTGCTCGATCCTGAACCTTAGGCCTACACCCCACCGTAGATGACAACAATGTACTACTCCTTGTCTCCGATCACACGAGACAAAACCAAGAATTCCTCCAACCGGACCTTAGATTTCGCTGTTCACGAGGTCTCTATGATGAAAAGAAAACTGGGCAGATTTTTTAAAGAGTACATAACAAAAGGGGTCACTTCTCTCTTTGAGCCAATTAAAAAAGTGTCCTCAAAATTCGGTGGCGCCCACTTCGCAAAAGCGCACCTTAGCGAACAGAGTTATCCTACTCGAGTTTAAAAAATCAAAGTGAAACTAGCAAGTTTTTGAATGGATTTCGGAAGAACGCTTTTTTAA